ATAAATAAATAAATAAATAAATAACATTTTCTTTCTTGCCATGAACTGCTTCTAGAATTAGATAACCCTATTTTTACACAGCAACATGACATGCATTAGATTCATTAATTTTTCCTGTTCATAGTAGTCCTACTGTTTTAGCATGGATCACTTTGGGCTATTTCTGTCAAATGGTCAGGCCACCATCCTCACCACCATCACCACCAGCATCACCAGCAGTGGCAGTGTTAATTCTTGAGCAAATACTTTCTGCCTGTTTGGTACTTGTCCTTGTATTTTGCTTGTAAGTTTTGCCATACAGCATTGTTGAAGAATCAATACAATAGGGCCGGGGATAGCTCAGTAGAAGAATAAGTGCTTCTCTGGCAAGCACAAGGGCCTGAGTTCAATCCTTGGCTCTGAAAAAAAAAAAAAAGATTCAATACAGTTCAGTTTACCTGTGCCTCTTCTTATGACTTTTGTTTCTCCATTGTTTGCACAATGGCCTTCCCAATTGTAACTTTGTTTAAAAATGTCTTTCAAGGGGGGCTAGAGAGATGGCTCAGTAGAATAAGCACTTCCCTGGCAAGTGCAAGAGCATGAGTTCAATCCCTAGTCCCCCCCCCCCAAAAAAAAAAAATATATATATATATAGTCTTTCAAGTGGTTTACCTTCTGTTTCCCTTTAAGATTATTTATTATCCTGGTCATTATAAGACAAATTCTCTCTTTAGGGTGAATTTAGGGTATTATTTCTTTAGGGTGAATGTAGGGTATTATCTCTTTAGAGTGAATGTAAGGTATTATCTCTTCAGGGTGACCAGGTCTATACCATTTTCTTCTTTTTTTAAAAAATGTATTTGGTACTGGGTCTCACTATGCAGCTCATACTTGTAGTGATCCTCCTGTCTCAGCCTCCCCAGTGCTGGAATTATGGGCTGTGTGACCACACCCAGTCTTTGTGGCCAGCTTGGTTCACCCAGGTCAGCGCTGGCATGGTATGTGGTCCTGGGGATCAAGCCCAGGTCCTTGTGCTTGACTAGGTAAGCACTTAGCCTAGTGAGTGATCTCTGTGGCCCAGTCTATACCATTTTTGTCCACTAACTTCATTGCATTAACAATAGGGTTTAAGAGAATAAAAGTCTGTTTGATGTTAGGAATAGTATTTTAAACAAAATATAAACAACTCATCTTTTTATCAAAAATATACCAGGGAGTCCAGCTGCAATGGCAAGCATGGTGTCAAGTGCTTAGAAAACAAAGATGAGTCCTAAGCCAGAGCTGACTAAAGAGCAGAAACAGGAAATCTGGGAAGCTTTGATCTTTTTGATGCAGATGGGACTGGGATCACTGATGTAAAGGAAAAAAAGGTGGCACTGACAGCCCTGGGTGTTGAGCCCAAGAAAGAAGAAATCAAGAAAATGCTAAGCGAAATTGATAAGGAGGGGACAGGCGAAGGGAACATCAGTGACTTTCTGACCGCAATGACTCAGAAAATGTCTGAGAAAGACACCAAGGAAGAAATCCTGAAAGCTTTCAAGCTGTTCAGTGATGATCAAACTGGGATAATACTCAAAAGTCTGAAGCGCGTGGCCAAGGAGCCAGGCGAGAGCCTGACTGAGGAGGAGCTGCAGGAGCTGGCTGATGAAGCCCACTGAGATGGAGACGGCGAGGTCAACGAGCAGGAGTTTCGGGGCATCATGAAATGACCAGTCTCTATTGAGACCCATGTGGTCTCTCCTGCTACAAGCACATGTGACTAGATTAGTGCCCACTGTCCTGGGAAATCCGGCTCTCCACTTCCCTGTAGTACTTCAGACATGGCCTTGAACCTATTTTGGACTTTTGGAATTGTTCTTTGATATTGAAGTTCTTTCTAAAATGATCGCCTAGGGCCAGCAAGATAGCTCATTGGACTAAGCTCCTGCTTAGGCAAGCGCAGGGACCACAGTTCAATCCCAGGCACCACATGCCACTCTGGCCCCACCCCCGGGCACAATGAGCCAGTCACTGAGACCCGGTGTGGTGGCACATGCCTGTAATTTCAGCACTGGGGAGGCTGAAAACAGAAGGATCACTATGAGTCCAAGCTGCGTAGTGAGACTCTGTACAAAATACACACAAAAAAACCCTATATGCCATCTCATAAAATGATCTGCCAATTACTTTAATTCTTACAGAATGAGAGCACATCAGAACAGGGAGAAGTATCTCAGGGGTTGCCCACCTGTCATCTCTCCTGGCCTTGCTGTGACTTCCAACCTAAGTCTCATGCATGGTGAGGTCAGTGGTTCCTCTACTCACCTGCTGCCGGAGGGCTGTATTCTCTTTTTGCAAAACCCGGTAAACCTTTTTGCTGGCATTTAATGCTGATTTCAGCTCCCTGCACAAGGAACTTTTGGAAAATGTTTACAAGATCTTCTCATACTTGTAATACCACATAGAATTCAAAAGGCCCTTCTGATCTCTAACACCAGAAACTCACAATGTATAAAAATGAACACACTCGGGGAGGGGAGGAGGAGTTGAAAGGAGGGGATTGGGGAAAAAAGAGGAATCAAAATATATCATGTAAAGGTACAAATTACTTGTGATTAATTTTATCATCATGTTTATCTAAAATGTACCAAAAAGCTTAATTAAAAAATAAACACACACACACACACACACACACAGCATAAACATATAAATAAAACAAATACAAAAACACCTAATAAAACTGATTTTTTTTTTTTTTTTTGGTGGTGGTACTGGAGGTTGAACACAAGGTCTTAGTACTGAACAAATAAGTCTCTCTAACTTGTTAAATCGCTCAGGCTGAGCTTGAACTTGCAGTCCTCCTTACAGGAGTAAGGGATTATAGACACATGCCACCATGCCTAGCCTAATTTGGTATTCTTATTTGAAGTTTGTTGTGTCAGATCTAATCAGAATTAGGATGGCTTGGATTGGGAGGAAAAGACATTTAAAAGGCTTTCTGTTTGTTTGCTTGCTTATTGAGCTTTTCCCCTCCTTGTAATAATTTGGTTACTGTTTCATGATTTGTTGGGGAAAATGGTAGAATGCTAATAAGAGGAAATTAAAAATCATTCTACCACTTGCTTTTCAGAATTAAGAAATGGTAGAGGATAAGCCTCTATTCTAGGTCTTTCTTTTTCATCATTTTATGGAGCATTTTTAATAACTGAGAAGCACAAAGCTGCATAGAGAACTTCAGGAGAGAAATACAAGTCCTTAGCCCTCTAGACTGACCCTGGTGAAATGAGCACATCAGGTAGATTTAGTCATCTTTGTATTAGAGATGCTGTGATTTGAATATCACATCCCTGAATGTGTTCTGATGTGGGTTCACATCCTAACTGGCGGTGCAAAAGCTTTATTTTTGAAGATGCATTTTCTGGGAGCAGCCAGCAACTCCTGTTTCTTTCTGTGGACATGTCATCCACTTTGGCGATGCTTAAAATAAAGTACTCAGCTAGAAGGGAGGTTGAAACAGACAACAAGCAATATAATACAAAATATTATGAGTAAAGTGTGTTACTCAGGTCCTTCTAAAATACATTTCTCCCTTTATTTTGAAGGCCATAGTATAGGCAACTTGGCTAATGGAACCAGGCTCTACCTTTGATCATCAATAGGGTTATGTTTTCGGGAAACTAAGTTTTAGCTTGGATGACAGTTTTAGCTGAGGTGGACATGAAAGAGGGACTGCTTAATTGTTAGTTCCCTGCAAAGCCTGCCTCTTCTCTCCTTAAATTAACAATTCTTCAGCTGGAACCACAAGCAGGAGTGCCAGCAGATCTTTCAGAGGCTGAAGGGGAGGAAATTCATTTGATCTTTATTTTTATTTATTTATTTATTTTTACTCTGGCTGGTTTGCAGGGTCTGGCTGTAGGTGCTTGCTTTACAGAGGATGATTGCTGGCTCTGGGTGACAAAGAATAAAATATAAATGTGATATGAGTGCATTTATTTAACCATTTATCCTGCTGGTACTGGGGGGTTGTGTGCTGAGAGCCTGGGATATAGTAGATGCTCAATGGAAGCTCAGAATAATTGAATATGATGGATAAAGGGCAAGGCTGTATTCAGCAATCATTTTTTTTTTTAATTTTCCGGGCATATATCTAGATTCAAAAACAGAAATAGAGGCTAGAGCGATGAACTACACATCTGCTGCCCATCAGCTGCAAGGGGAATGTTCTGTAGTGCTCGTGAAATAGGACTAGTGCAAGGAAAGATGTGCAAATCTCCTCTTGATCTTTTGGCTAACATCAAGGGTAAGGTAAGACATGCAATAAGTATGAATCGGGCTGGTGAGATGGCTCAGTGTTCTAAAGCACCTACTTAGAACAAGCTTAGCAAAGCACAGGGACTGTGGTTCAATCCCCAGCACCACATGCCAGCCAGCCCTGCCCCCTGGTGGGCTGAGCTGGCCACACGCACACACACACACACACACACACACACACACACACAAATAAAATTAAAAAAATAAGTATGAATCACACATTGTTTGGTTTTTAGAAATGTCTATAGTACAGTGTCTACAGGGTCTTACTATGTAGATTGGATTCATAGTGATTCTCCTGTCTTCAGCCTCCCCAGCACTGGGATTACAGGCGCACACCACCATGCCCAGTCTCAATTGCCCTCTCAGGGTGCCCTGGGGGCGGGGCCAGCACAGCTTACTGGGAATCGAACACCGACCACTGACACACTGGTTTTTGAAGACTTAATTTGAAAAAAAAATGCAAATATTTATATTGATTACATATTGAGTAATAATATTTGTGAGATAGTAGAATTAAATGAAATACATAGCATTTCACCAGTTTTTCCCTACTTTTCTTTTTTTAAAAAAATTTTATTTATTTGTGTGTGTGTGTGTGTGTGTGTGTGTGTGTGGCCAGCTCAGCCCACCAGGGGGCGGGGCTGGCTGGCATGTGGTGCTGGGGATTGAACCACAGTCCCTGGGCTTTGCTAAGCTTGTTCTAAGTAGGTGCTTTAGACCACTGAGCCATCTCACCAGTCCCCCTACTTTTCTTGTTTTTCTTTTTTGGTACTGGGTACCAAACTCAGGACCTTGTGTTTACCAGGCAGGTGCTTATTCTTCCTACTTTTCAAATATGACTTACTGCTTTTTAAAAATTTGACCAGTAGAAAATTTAAAAGTATTTATGTGAGTCATATTATGTTTTTATTGTCCAGTGCTGGCATAGACATGAAAAATACAGGTAATGAAACATCTCTGCCTTTAAAGGGCTGGGAAGATGGCTCAGAGGAATAAGTGCTTCCCTGGTAAGTGCAATGGTCTGAGTTCAATCCCTGGTTCCAAAAAAAAAAAATCACTGCTTTTAACTACGGGGGAGCATTTTCCTACTCATATCTCCTACAGGTGACAGTCTTTACCCAGGTCTAAAAGTGAGGTTGACCACACACACCCTCCCACCCAGTGGGCTTCACTGGGCCAGGGGAGTAGGGATGCTGCCGAAGGGAACCACTGGCTTTACCCTTTCTCTTCCTCCTACCTTCTACCTCCTGCCCTAAGACTTGCACACACAGAGGACCGAAACAGAGGGCCTGGATCCGCATTCACCTCGGATGGGCTGGGTCAGGACTCTGCACAAAGGTATGGGCTGGTCCTGGTAACACTAGGGTGTTTGCTCACAGTTCTGCTCTGGAGCCTGGCCAGTGCTTTCTGGCTTCCTCTGCCTCATTATTTCCCCGATAGCCTGGGACTGAACTCAGAATGGTCTCACCACATGGCCTGTCCATGGCGAGTCTGTCTGTCTGTCTGTCTGTCTGTGTGTCTGTCTGTCTGTCTGTCTGTGTGTCTGTCTGTGTGTCTGTCTGTGTGTCTGTCTGTGTGTCTGTCTCTGTGTGTCTGTGTGTCTGTCTGTCTGTCTGTCTCTCTCTCTTTCTCTCTCTCCTGTCTTTTGAGACAATTTTTGTGAGATGCTTTGCAGTTTAGGCAGGCCTTGAGCTCATTTTGTGGCCCAGGTTGGTCTCAAACTTGCAACTGTACTCCTGCCTGCCTCAGCCTCCTAAGTACCGGGATTACAGGCCAGTACCACCACATCTGGCTACTGTCTCTCTGTTTCTATTTGTGTTCCTATCACTCTCTCACTCTCTGTTTCTCTTTCTCTCTCTGTGTGTCTGTTTTTCTCTGTGTCTCTTTTTCTCTGTTTCTCTCTCTGTCTCTGTTTATTGTTCTGTTTCTGTTTCTGTGTGTGTGTGTGTTCTCTTTCATTTTCTCTGTTTTTCTTTCTGTGTGTGCTTCTCTCTCTCTCTCTCTCTCTCTCTCTCTCTCTCTCTCTCTCTCTGTTTCTGTCTCTCTATCTATCTCTGTCTGTTTCTTTCTCTCATCCTTCTAGATGATGGCTGAGGACTCTCCTTTGACAACTGCCGCAGGAGTGCCCTGTTCTCCTGCAAGCCCTGGGACTGCTGTGGTCTGGGCCCCTGCAGTGGCTGTGCTCTTGTTCCTCAGAGCTTTGTCTCCCTGCATCGCTGGAAGGCAAAGGAAATGGAAACGCCTGCGCTCTCCAGGTCCTGCCCCTTTCTGTAGCAACCCCTTTTCCTCCCGCCTGCTTTCACTTTATAGGCCGAAGGGGGGGGGGCGCTAAGCAAATGTGAGCCAGCTGGATTCAGGAGGAAGCTCCTTTAAGTCTTTCCCTCGGCAGCTCGGCAGCTCGGCTCTCAGAAAGGTCCGGTCTCTGTGGTCTGGGAGCAGGAACTTGGGAGACACTGTTAGCTTTTAGGGGAGCAAACACTGAGCTCATTTATACTAAATGAGAGGACACAGGACACTGGCCAAGGCAGCTGACCATCCCTTACTGCTCTTTCTTCCTATGACCCCACCCTACCCCACAAGGCTCTAGGAGATGCGTAAGCACCCAGAGACATTGTTACTGCTCCTGCTCCCAAAGGGACTTGAATAAGCTTTTCCTGTCTGCTTCTGCTGCAGAAGTTGCTCCCCACCTGAAAGAAGCCTAAATCCCACTGGGTACAAATCTGTGGTCTCTACGTGGGAGCCAAATGCAGAGTGTGCACAAGCACCCAGGCCAAAGCCTGTTCATACACCTGCCCTGGCCCTCAATGCATTCAATCTTCAAGGTATCAGAAAACAGTATTGCTGGGTTAAGACACCCTAAGCTCACAGCAGGGTTGGGAAGACATCTGTGGTGGGGCCTGTTGTCCCAAGGGTTTTTCACCAGCCTCCTCCTCCCCCTCAGCCTTGTAAAGGAAGACTGGCCCAGGGCAATGAGGGAGGAAACTGCCACTGGCAGGTCTACTGTCTCCCTGGTCCATGTCCACCTCCTCTCTAGTCTTCAGTTCTCACCATTATAAACTTTTCTTTTTAAATCATGCTTCACACGCCAAGACAAAGCTTCCTTTAGATGCCTACTTGCCACGATATTATTTTAAAATCTTCTACATCTTGCTTTCTCTTCCCACATCTATTTACCATTTACCAGTTCATCTGTATGGAATAGGACGCTTCCACTTCCAGGAGCACTGTAGTTTGGGGCCTAATTGATTCTGGTAATTAATTTGTTCTACCTGCTAGATCAGATGGAAATCCTGCCCCTCGCCCAAGGATTAGCACTTGGCTTTCTAACACCTCCTCTAATTATCTAATAGCATGGGTTGTGAGGACTCAGTCTCTATTAAAACACTTTTGCTATTAGCAGTAGTGATTGGAATTGTGATGACGACTAGATTTCAACAAATTAGAGCTTAAAAATGGGGAGATGGAAGAGAAGTGGCTTCTTTTAATTTCCCTGAGTTTAACATCAATAATTAGAGCAATTTTCAGAAATGTGAGCCAAAATTACCCCTGCTGTGTTGTAGTTGATCACTTTAATTTTATCAAATTGACTCCAAGAAAATAAATGTGATAGATTAGAAAAAGACAAACAGGGACGGGGGGAAGAAATAAAAAATTGGAAGGGAGAGATGAAAGGAAAGAGGTTGGGAAAAGGAACAGAAGACAAAACCTAGAACAAATATTCAGGGATCTAAGAATGAAAAGAGTGATGAAACAGAAGTAGTAAACCATCTGAGTGAAATGTGGAATAAGAAATGGACATTAGAGGGACCGTGGAGGACAGCACTAAGGTGGCTGTGGATAAATTTTAAATGACCAACTCATTTGACTGATTTAGATATGAATCTCCTCCCACCCACTCCCTGTAACAGGGAAAGAATGTTATGATCCTTCCTGATTTTTAAAATTTACTTCAGGAACCCAGTAACCCTCCCATTCACTGAAGCCGAGTCCAGCTACCTAGAGTAGCAGACACTCTTCCAACTCACCTTCTTTTGCTAGCAATTATGGAAACTCTTTAACAATGCAGGCTCAAACGCCCGTATGAGTGCTTTCTCTGTTACCATGAGGCCATTTAGTGTCTTCTAAGAAGGAGTTTGTTGGACAACAGAGTGTTTTGCTATTAGTTTCCTTTTTAAACAACTGGGAACAAAAGCATGTCTTGCAGTGGAGTGGCAGACCCTGAGATCTAGGGCCCTGGTAGGAACCCAGGACCCAGTCGTCTCCGCTCTCCCTAGACTTGGCCAGGCGCCTTCAGCACCGCGGACAGATCCCCGCCCCGCCCCAAGCCCACCGCACCCTCCCCTCTGCGTCTGGCAGCCTTGTCATTGGCTCTCCCGGCTCCCCTCTCGAAGCTGCCAATTCTCTAACACGTAGACCCAACCTACCCCGAAGCTTGTCTTCTTGCCTCTCCAGCGTCCAGGATAGCCTAGGCCGAGGCGAGAGCAGTAACGGTCTTAGCCTCCAAGAGTGGTCGGCGGCTCTCGGCTAGGCTTGCTGTAGACGCCGTCTGCTTCTTACCTGCGTTCCCAGCGCGCGTCCTGTGGCAGGCGCTCCGCTCAGGATGAATCTCAACTTCACCTCCCCTCTACATCCGGCGTCTTCTCAGAGGCCCACATCTTTCTTCATCGAGGACATCCTGCTGCACAAGCCCAAGCCGCTAAGGGAGGTGGCCCCCGACCATTTTGCCAGCTCTCTGGCCTCTCGGGTGCCTCTACTAGACTATGGCTACCCACTCATGCCCACGCCCACCCTCCTGGCTCCTCACGCCCATCACCCTCTGCATAAGGGAGACCACCACCATCCGTATTTTCTCACCACCTCGGGTAAGTAGCAGGGCCCTCAACGTGTTGGAAGGGAGAAAGCAGTTCTTCTGGCACAAGCCTGTGATGGAGTGACAGAAATGCCAGGTCTATTTTGGCCTGGCATGGTGGCATCCCTCCCTCAGTAACAGAAGGTTTAGGTATGGCCCAGAGCACACAGAGCTTCCTTGAAGCATGTTTTAAAAAAAATAATAGTCACTTTGTATTTTTTGTAACAGAGATGCATCTGGCCAAGAGCTGGATGTGGATGGGTTTGGCGATATTTTTAAAGGGTCAGTCTTATCCATGACTTTCCTAACTGCTTTGGTTTACCTGAGTCCCCATTCTGATTTGTAGCCTCTCCCACCCGTTAGAGACCCTTGTCTCCCCCATCCCATGGGCTCAGCTCAACTTTCCAGGTTGGAAGTGGAGGATGCTCTGCCTGGGCAGCTCTCACACTGGGGAATCCGTGAAGGGCATAGACATGAATAAGCATCTGACATAATCTGAAGGAAAAGGTTTGGGCTGCCGAATAAGGGTGGAAAGTGTAACAAGCAAACAAAAGAGAGAGAGAGAGAGAGAGAGAGAGAGAGAGAGAGAGAGAGAGAGAGAGAGAATATGCAGCTTTTTAGCTCTCGTCACTCCCAAAGTTTTGCATTTTAACTCAAGACCTTAGGCTAGGCTGCCCTTCTCTGCCCCAGTTACTGAAATCTCTGAAAGCAGGTGCTAAAGGTGTGTGCATTAGCAAAGTGTGGTACATTGGCAGGCGAGGGAACACCTAGATTTTTTTTTTTTTTAGATTATCTTTCTTGGGAAGGTCACATTCATGCTCCCCCCACCCCAAGCCTTTATTCTAGCCAGAATAGGATGGAGTAATTTGTTTAGTTGGTTGCTGAGTAAAGCCATGAAAACAGCTCCGGTAAGGGACAAGAGATGGGAGAAGAATGGGAGTCAATTTGCAAAATGTGGAAAACTAGAACAAAAGCTGAAAGCATTAATGGAGCAGCGTAAAGCAGACACTGGGCCACTGGTCGGCGAGAGGCCAGCGGCCTCCAAAGCCTGGGGTGAGGTCTTCATCTCTCTCTGGCTTCTGGCTAGTGACAGTCCCTTCTTCATTGCCCTGATGTGGGTCAGTCAGCTTTAGCAATGGCCAAATTACTCTTCCGTTACTGTTGCTTTTGTCCCCCCTCTCCCACTGGCAGATATTGGAGCCTGGGGCACCAGGGAGGGTTGGGAAACGGGAGGAGAAAGGCTTCATCTTAGCCTTTCTGCTTCCCTGGGCTTGGAGTCAGACAAAAAGGACAAGGAGCAGCTCGGGCAGGTGCCTAGTAGGACTCTGACGAGGAAACGTGAGAGGGAGCTCCACGGCCTCTGGATAAGAATTTTGTTGTTTTCTCTTACAGAATGCTAGGGCAAAAGGCAGCTGAGGGAAAAGAACGGTGTTTTTAAAGTGAACACAGAGGGCAAGATCCTATCTTTTCTCGCTTAGTAGACTCAGCAGCTCACTGGGTGCCATCAGGAGTCCTGATAAGAAAAGGTGGACAGCCCGGTGTTCGCAAGAAAACTTTAAGAGGCAAAAGAGAAGACTGGGTACAACAAACGCCCCGCAGACTTCTAAGATTTGTTTTGCTGAGGCAGGGTCTCACTCTGTAGTCCAGGCTGACCTTAAACTCGAGATCCTGCCTGCTTCAGTCTCCCAAGTGCTGGAATTATCCGGGTGCTCCTGACTGAAGACAGTTTTTGAAAGGTCCCTGGGTCTATTTTCTAATTTTCTTTTCCACTTTACTTGCTCTTCATTGTGTGTTTGTAGACGGCCGTCTGGAAAAAAAAAAGATCTCTAAGCGCAGTGTTGCAGCTTTTCCAGTCCTGTCTGGGTTTCTCGGGAGAAGCGTTCTGGGACCTTCGCAGCGGGCGGGAGAGTGGCGGCGGCCGGCGGCCAGGGCTCAGGGAGGCGTTGGGCTTCATCGGAAGCCCTGGGCGCTGGAGGTGGGCAAGGGAGTGGGGCGAGGTTGCTGCCTGGTGACCCGGTCTCTGCCCACCGGGCTGCTCTTCTCTCCCTAGGAGTGCCGGTCCCCGCGCTGTTCCCGCACCCCCAGCACGCGGAACTGCCGGGGAAGCACTGCCGCCGCCGCAAAGCTCGCACTGTGTTTTCGGACTCGCAGCTCTCGGGCTTGGAGAAGAGGTTTGAGATCCAGCGCTATCTGTCCACGCCCGAGCGGGTGGAGCTTGCCACCGCCCTCAGCCTGTCCGAGACGCAGGTGGGTGAGGAGGGGAGCCCCGATTTCCGCTTGGTTCTTCCTCTTCTTCACTTTGAACCCGCACGGACCACTGAGGCACTCTCAGCGAGAACAACCCCTCTGTCTGCTTTTCTAGGCTTCTCCCCTGACCCTTACGAGCGTATGGATACTCCAATCTCACCTTAACCTTCTGACACCAAATGTCTCCCGAGAGGCTTTACAAGAAGGAAAACTTCCTCGGGTGATTTTAATGATCACTTCGGGATTCACAACTGTTATTTTTACTCCTCTGTTCCCCTCCAGCCGAGGGCGTAACCTCGGTCAGAGGTAAACGGAGGAGAGATTAGACTGGTTCTTAGTTCTCCTTCACCTCCCACCCCACGCGAGACCCCTCATCCTCCTTTCCCTCGCCCTCACCGCTGCCGGCCCTTGCTTGCACTCTCTCGGACACACGCCAGGAGCTCTGGCCTCCTCTCCGCCCCTGCCCTGAGTGGAAGAATATTGCGATCCTGCTCTAGGCACTGCGCACCTTCAAGCACCCAACTCCTTCCTCTACTACTTTCGCCTCTCATCCTTTGCTCAGAAAAAGAACTATGAGATCACTAGTACACTAGCACTAAATGTGCTTTTCACCCTAATGAAAACCAGTGAGTTCGGTCCACCCCTTCCTGTCCAGGGGTCCTGCTGGGCCAAGTATTTAGACGTCTCCATCCATCAGAGGAACCCGAGGTGCACAGGGGAGACCCATCCACGTAGTACTTAGTCTTTCTAGTGAATAACAGTATTGGTGATTACTGGCTGGGCTATTTTGATCCTCACCATTATTTTGGTACAACCACTCTTGGGAGTCTTAGGAGGCTTGGTTCTAGTTCAGCCTGAGATTGTCATTTGCGAGCACTGCACGCGATTTAACCCAAGAGCGAGGCGAGCACGGCGCTCAGACCATTCATCCACGGCTTGTAGCACATTTTCCGGGAAGCCAGCAGTCGGCGGGGTCCCATTACGATGGGTCTGGAAGAATGACGCAATTCTATCTGTGTCTCCCCCAAACCAGGTGAAGACGTGGTTTCAGAACCGGAGGATGAAGCACAAAAAGCAGCTGAGAAAAAGTCAGGATGAGCCCAAAGCGCCGGAAGGGCCTGAGAGCCCCGAGGGCAGCCCCCGCGGGTCCGAGGCCAGCGTGGCCGAGGCTCGGCTGAGCCTGCCTGCTGGCTCCTTCGTGCTGACCGAGCCCGAGGACGAGGTGGACATCGGGGAAGAGGGCGAGCTCAGCTCGGGGCCGCCTGGGCTCTGAGGCTCCAGTTGGGGAGGGAGGCGGGAGAGGAGACGCGGCCCGGCGCGCTTCTCTCTCACAGGGGAGACTGGACTCCGGCCCCAGAGATCGGCTCCCAGAGGACGCACATCCCGCCCTGTCCCTGCCCTTTACTGCCCGGGCCTGCAGTTGCGGGCTCCCCGCGCTAATCCGGGTGAGGTGGGTCTCCCCTCCTCACTGCTCTCGCCCGGACCGTCTGCCCTCCCTTAGAGCAGTTCGGTGGTCGCAGGCCAGGGATCAGGCGTTCAGGCCTCCGGCTCAGGGGGGTCCAGGCCCAGCCGTCCCCGATCCTCGGAGTGTCCAGGCCGGGACCCGCGTGCTCCCAAGGTCGCCAAGCTCGCTCGCTCTGGGCCTCCACTCCCGTCTCCCGCCTCTGGACCGCGCTTCCATCCTCTCTGGCCCCAGTCTTCGTCCAGAGCTCACAATTGTGCTTCCTGGCACGGTTCCTGAGCTTGTGGCCCCGGCTGTAGAAGCCTTTCCGTCCTTCCTCCTCCGCAACCGGCGGCGCTCGCTCGCTCGCGCGGAAGGAAACCTGGGCAGAGAAAAATCTGTAGAGCAGTTTTCTGCTTCCCGAACTCGTTGCGCTCGCGTCCCACCACTCTTCCATGTCCCACTGGCTACCGCTATTTTGCAAGTGAGTGATCCTCGGGTTGTGTGTGGAAGTGCTCATTCTCAGTGTATTTGAGGGAGTACAGCTGGACTATCGAGGGCGAAGGGGCTTCGGGCGCACTCTGGTTTGGGACCGGTGGGGCGGGATCCGACTGCCCTGAAAACCCTTCTCCTTTTCCCTCGGGAGGGCTCCTGTTCTCCAGCTAGACCTGTAGACTCTTCAGATAAAGGGCTTTCCCGGCACCACTGGGAGCGACGCACATTTTCGGGGACCATTTGTTACCACGTCCTCCTACGCGGCCCCCATCTCCTGTTTCCCGCAGAGATGAACTTGACTTACCTTCAGAATCCCAGACTCTGGCTTTTCTGTTTCACTAATGGTCTTGAGTCCCAACTACATGGAAAAGGTCCTAACAAATGGTATTTGCGTCGTTGGGAAATACTGGTCAGGGATCGATTGTTATTTGGAACTTGAAATTATGCTAACAAATTGTGTGAAGACACTGCATATTCAGTACAATTATCAAATATAGCATCTGTGCCCGAGGCGACCTCGGCTTCCGATCTTCCTTTGGTTTCTGGTTGCGTCTTTAGGTGAGTCTGGGAGGCCGTAAAAGAGTGTGGATCGGTGCAAATGTCATCCGTGGGTTCCAATGGGAAATAATAGTCTTACAGATCACAGTGGTGTGAGCTGGGCTCTAGTTAATTTGCTTGTTTCCTTATATCTCTAAGAAGGAGATGAATCCTAACAGTTCTCGGTTTGAGTTCTATGATTCCATAAATGTAATAGTAGATTTTTTTCTTTTCTTTTTTTTTTTAAATAGACTTACTGAGAAAACATTGTGTGAGGTAAAGATGAGAGAGAGAGAGAGAGAGAGAGAGAGAGAGAGAGACAGAGAGACAGAGAGAGACAGAGAGAGAGAGCGAGAGAGCGCTTTACCTAATTACATGGCTTAAAGGCAAAACTACTTCTTTAAAGCGTCAGCATTGCCCCGTGTGACGTTGCCCAAGAGTTCAGTAATCAGTCGGTGAACCTGTGAGTCGGGGCCAGTGCGCTTCCCTTTCACAGAGGGGAAAACTGAGGCTTGCTATGACGTAAACATCCATCCGTGAAACGCGGGGCGGCAGGTTGCTAAAGGTGGACAAAAATCTCTCCTTTGACTTCCTCACAATTTATTTTTCTGGAAACAATGCATCAGTTGACGTGTTTTTCCTCTCTCACTCCAGAGGAAAGCCTGTCGTTTCTCCAGATTGTCTATGTGGGCTATCAAAAGCATATTTAGTCTCATATTTCTCCTCTTTCTCTCTGCTTAGACAAAGATAATACTTTTTTTTTTTTAGTGGTGCTGGGGATTCCCAGGGCATCAGCCTTACTAGGTAAAATAGTTTATTACTGAATTGTTTCCTCAGCCGGACACTACCATTTTAGGCTAGGAATTTCCTGCAAATGCTATAGAGCAAGAGAAAAGACTTGGTGAGGGAGAAGGGGAAAAATTTATTTGTCAATAAGAATGTACTGATGACCTGGAATTAGTAACAGGAGAAAATATAGCCAAGTGGCAAATCTTAAATTCTAATCCTGGGAAGAACAACTATTAGTAGGATTTGGGAAAGATCATTAATGTGAATGAATTAGATGGTGAACACAAACTTAAAAGTTCCCGTGAATTTCCTTTTCTTCTCCCACCCTTACTACTCGTCAGTGTTTTTCTATCTGTGAGAAGAGTAAAGGTATCTCATGACCTTTTGTCTTGAACAAGAAGGTAAATGGGAAGCTTATTAGCATAAGGGCAGCTCTACCCTACTGGAGGAAGAGTCAGCCTGAGAGTCCAGGGCCCCTGGGTCTGATTCATTACCAACGCTTAGTCCCCCTCACTCTGGTCCTCCCTTTAGGGCTGTTCCTAGCTAGAACTGATGGGAAGGAGAAGCTAAGTACTGCAGCATCAGTCATGTGAATGGTGGTACAGTTTTCTCATAAATAAAAAAAGCCTCTGAAATTGGTGGTAAACAATCCAAGAGCAAACTTCTGTTTCTTTCTTTTCTTTTTTTAAATACAAGAGGTTAGTGATGGCAACCGAGGCTAGACACAATTTAGTCTCAATTTAATGTAACACGACAGTGCTATTTGTTTTTGGCCTTCAGTATGGATCAAAGCTTCCGTACGCCAAAAAGGTATTTTGTCTATTACAGAGAGTTTTGCCTCAACTCACTTTCACTTGGTGGTGAAGATTTGACAAAACTATTCTTATTATTATATAGAAAGACACATAGAGATCTGAAATTGAATATATCAAAACATCGTCAGATAACCAAGGTAGGCAAGTCATTCTATATTTTACTCCCGATATAGCACATTTATTTTTCCTATTTGTCCCCAATGCTCTGTGTCTGATGGACTTTATAGATTCTCAGAGAGGGACTCTAGGGAGTATTTCTGACAATACAATGACACAAGAACATAAGGAATGGACAACAGCCATCCTGCACAATATCACTGACAGTGACACTGAGAAGTGCTTGATCAGAGTCCATGACACAGCTTCAAGAGACCAGGACTTGCTCTTGTGGATGTTTTTCACAATTACATAAAGATGTGGAGAGGCAGAGCAAGCAGGATGCTCTCTGGTGCTAAGAGAATCATGCAATAAACGTATTTAGCTGAAGCAGTGACTCCTTGGTCTTCCTGAATTACTACAGATGCACAAATAATTTGCTAATTGAAGCATTTATATGTTATGTTTTTGGCATGGCATGTTAAAAAGGATGTTGACAAGATAAGATGTATTCAGCACATAGGAACCTGGATAGTTATGGGTGTGCTCATGACAAAGAACTCTTAGAAATAACAAAGAACTCTTAGCTTTTTATCGTAGAGGAGGAAAGTGTTGGGGGAGGGGGAAGAGTTTAGATATGGCAGTTGCATTTGGATCATGGCAGGCAGGTGTATTAAATATCAATTTTGCTGGTGTATTAAATATCAATGTTAGGGTGGTCTCAGAGAAGCAGATTTTGGAACATTTGTGTTCTTCCTGTCCAACTACAGAATGTGTTAAGTCCACAAAACACTCAGCATAAGGGCTAGAGAGATGGCTCAGCTAAATAACTGCTTGCCTGGCAAGCTCAAGGGCCTGAGTTCAATCCCCAGTTCCACAAACAAACAAACAAACAAATAAAAAAAGCAAAACAAAAACCACGCAGCACCTTTACACTAGAAAAGTTTAGGCAGAAGCTAGAAGGCAAACCTAAAGGAGTCTCTCTATGGGTTTCTCCATGGAGTAGGAGGTTGGCTAGATAGCCTGTGTGCAGCCTCTCCTTTTCTTCCTCCATTTTCCTCTTCTCAAGGCCTTTGTACTGAGCTACACCCCCAGCCTTGTATACTTTTTCTTAACCATTGTGGTGCTAGTATTCTGTTTTCTTTTTTTTAAGGAAAGAAACTACAAGTTCTAAACTACTAAAGTCATTTCACTAAGATTTCAGTCCATATACTCTAACTTAAATAAATACATCCATAACAATTAGAAGAATTAAGAGAAACAGGAAAGAGAAAAAAAAAATCCTTCTTCACTGAAGAATTTCCAGCACTCCAAATGAAAATAAGGGTTATTCCACTAAATTAAGGAGAAGAAATTGTCAGTGTTAGAAGGGTCATTGACAAATCTTATCCTTCATTTTATACAAGGATGAAATCAAGTCCCAGTTATAGTCAGTGCCTTCTCACTGTCACATAAACAGGGGCAGAATTAAGGATAGAAGCAATTTTTTTTTCAGTATTTGGGACCAAACCTAGGAATGCTCAGTTACTGAGCTACATCTCTAGCTATTTTATTTTTTGAGATAGGGTCTCACTAAGTTGCCCAGGCTGACCTCAAACTTAGAATCCTCCACCTCAGTCTCCCAAGTAGCTAGGATTACAGAAGTGTACTATGATGCCTGACAAATTTGTTTTGTTTTGTTTTTTGAGAGAGAGGTCTTGCTATGTAGTTCAGGCTGGCTTTGAACTCTCCGTGTAGCCAGGCTGGCCTGGAGCTCATGGTACTCTTCTTGCCTTGGCCTTCCAGGCTGGGATTACAGGCATATGTCATCACACTTAGTGAAATATAGCCACAAATTAGTAAAATCTTCCCTACCTTTTGGAAACATTTGTGTGTGATTAAAGGAACCAGAAACTTAAGTGAACTTTGCTGGGAAATACTGAATGCTTAGTGATATTTTCATTCAAGTCAAGGTTGCATAAGCTTTTGCTGGGACGTTTCAGAAGATATTCCTGTAGGATGAGACCTAGGTGGCTTGTAAGAGACTTTATGTTTCTATATTTCTCCAGGGTAGAGTCTTGTTTTTTAACTTAATTTCTCTTAATTATAGATGAAGCAAAGGATGGTTCTCA